GAAGGAAAGTCCTCACATGGATAAACACTTGGCTGAAAGACAGGAAACAGGGTATGAATGTAAGACTGAAGAGTTCAGAGCAGAGAAAGACCACCAGTGGAATCACACATGGATCTGTGCTGGAATCCATACTAACACTTCTAAGTGATCCAGCAAAACAGAAGCAAATATTGAGTACTGACTCAGTAGTAGCAGCAAACTGCTAAGAACAAACACAAAAGGAACTGAAGAAATAGGGGCAAGTGTGTTTTCTTCAAAGAGTGATGACTGTAACTGTGCAGACTAATGCCCTCAGATTGCATTCCCCAAAACTGCAGGCCTCCACCTGGCATCAGTGGGCTTGATGAGTTCCAGGAGAAAGTAGGTCTCATCCTTCCATCCATCAGGAACTCTTCTTCTAAACACTATTACATTGCCTGCACAAGGTTTTTCTGTTCTCTTAAGAAATCCAGCATCTGGCAAGGAAGACTTAAGGGATGGTTAAGCCCATCCTGCAGCTCACAGGGAGGTGAGTGGTTGGATGGCTTTCCCCCTATCCCTATCAATTCCCTCGTGCCAGCTCAACACCTCTCTGACCTCTCAACTGGCTGATTCAGGTCACCAGCTCAGACAACAACTACTCAGGGAAAAAAATTAATCTTGCTCTTCATTTAGAGAACTGAACTGGTTCTAAGGCTCAGACCAGAACCCAAATAAACATGAAAAGCATTTCACACTCACCATCACGTACAAGCTCTATGCAAATGAGTATAAAAGAACCTAACAGGTAGATTCCAAGAAGTTAAGACAGCCAACAGGTTAGGAGGAAAAAAAAATACAAAATAATACCCATCCTGCACAGTGGCTTTGATTATTATTTTGTGGACAAAGCAGAGGGTTATGCTGCTATTCCTTGTGTGAAGTTTGTAAAAGCTTCCCCCACGTGACTGTGTGACTCTGCAATACAGTCCTACAAATACACCTGGACCTTCACACACGTGGAGAAACACGCAGGTTAAGGCCAAGTTATCCGAGCAACTGTGGTATGTTCTACATAATCCTATGAACCACCACAAGACCTTCTTGCAACAAGAACATCATTTCTAAGTCATGACTATAATCTCTTCAAGCTGTCGACATAAATAAAGAGGGTTTCCCCAGTATTTCACCTCTAAAGACTGTGCCTCATCATACACATTTCTGCTACTAAGTCATCTTCTGACACAAGTACTCAGTGCACTGGACACCAATTCATCTTCTGGGCTCCTTGTAGAGAAACAAACCATCCAACTGTAGAATTTTGTCTCCTTTGGTTGCACTTGGTACCTCAGGAAGTTCAAGAAGGCCATTACAGACAAAGGCCCTCTCCCAACACAACTCCTCACCATCACAAGTCAATTTGTGTCCCAGTATGTACAAGTGTCACTCAAAAAAATTAAGTCTTATTCCTCCAACACTGTCTTGGCCATGTAACTCTTAGATTCCCACAATTATTAGGGATATGCTGAGATTTGATTGCCTTTTAGCAATTTCACATCTACCCAAGCCAGAGACAGTCATACCCCACCCACATCACTACAACACTAAGACTTCTGACAGACAGGGTAAGTGATGAACATTAACTGGGGGAAAAACCCAAAAAACTTAATTGTGCTTGACATTTGGTTGACACAGACCAATCATCTGCAAACTGAAATTAATACACAACCTAAAGTCTAGTTTCTTACTTAGTTTATTGATTCTTCATTAAGCTCTAAGCTGAAAAACTGCTACTATGAAGATTTTTCTAAAAGGGGTTCAAATCTTGACTTGAACCCACTGCTGCACACACTGCTCCCATAATAAAGACACATTTCCCTGACAGACAATTTATAAATACATAGGGTGCTGTACTGGGAGTCCAGAGATCTGTCAAATATGGATGGGTTGGGTTTTTTCCTTACCTGTACCTTGACCTATTATCTGGTTTTCAGGGGAGAAAACCCCACCTATTTCACCTCACCTTAGTCATGTACTTCAAGACTTGCAGTACAAAGTAGCTGTTTAAAGTATATAATTTTTTTAGTCTGATTAAAACAAAGATGTTACTCAGCTTCAGCAACAAGGAACAGGTTTCAACATTCAGCAGCAGTCTACAGCAATCCAGATCCATCCTCTCGATATAAAGAACTCAAATGTTAGGATGGTAATTTCACAAGCCAACACAATCTTACTTACTCCAATTGTTTTCCAAAAAAGGAGACCATTTAGAGTTATATATTATTCTACCAATGACAATGTTTGAAGGAATAGCAGTGAGTGAGATTTCTCACAAAGCTTCCTGTACTACAATTAAGCTTCCTGGCATTTTGTGATTTGCCATGACATGCCTAAGCAGATCTGTGAAGATATTAAGAGATTTGGGTGTCTGACTATCTCCAGAGATCAGGGTTTAAGTGCTACTTACACTGCAAAAGTACCTAGAAAGTTGCCCTCTTAATCTGGGCCAACACACTGGGGACAGTACAGATACAAGACTAGATTCCCAACCATTCACAAATGCAGTTCCCAAGGCTTCGTGAATTCCCTAAGTAGGTCAGGTAAGTAACACCAAAGAAGCCACAGTTGGATGCCCACCATAAGTGCTGCTATAAATGCCATGAGCTATACATAAATAGCAACCCACCACTCTTAGTCTCCAGGAGAAAGAAGATGGCACAGAACCTGACACAACCTAATGTTAAGCACAAAAAATTGTCAAACTCGCATTCAAATTACCCAAGGGATTTGTGTTACCACATATTTGTAGACAGTACTTACCATCACCTCATTTTATATGTGTCAATTAGTAAGTGTGACCTCATGGTTGTGTATCTCTAAGAGTGAACTGAGGAGCAAAAACGAAGTTTTGCTTAAAACTTACATTTTACCATACTGCTTCCCAAACCATTCTGTTCACAGAATTATTCAGCTATGATCTTGGCAGAACTGCATTATTTCATATAAACAAGAACAAATTATGCCAATAATTTTTAATTGTTTCAGCTGAACAAGAACACAGAATTAGATGATAAAACAGTATCTACAGTACATTTTCTTCCAGGCCATGGACACGAGCAATGTGAAGATGCATTCAGACTTGGCATAATTAGAGGGTGCACTGTAAATATGTTTACCCAACTTGATTCCTAAAAACTCTGCAAGTCTAAAACCCACAGCAGTGATTTAAACAAGGCAACTTTAAGTTTAGTGCTCCCTCCTAAACTGTAACAAGTCTCATTACCATTCAGAAGCAATACAGCAGAACGAGTCTACATTTTGCTCTAGGCAGCTTGTTTAGCAAACATTCACAGCACTGGTGGAACCAAAAGTCCATCAAGGGAAACGCTGCACCAAGGCAATAATCCCTACTAATCAATTTTTATTAGTTGACAGGAAGTTTGCATTGCAGATCTGTACCATGGGGGAGAGTCTGATTACCTTCTAAAGAACTGATTTACTGCTGACTTAAGAAAACCCCAGAAACACAGTAATGCCTCAAGAGCTCCCAAGGATGATGAATTCTCCAGGATGTTGGCCAAGCATCCAACTTGGGTTTCCACTCAAACCAAAGCCAACACTTCCAGTTGCACTGACTCATCCATACCAGGTGGAGAACCCTTCCCTCCTGCACTCTTACTGTGGAATATGGAACTGCATGTGTCCCTCTGTCTGAGTCAACCACACTGTACCCCAATACCTGGGTTTTGGGAGGGCATTTTTATTCCTGTAAGTCCTTCAGTTATTGTGGAAATTGCTTGACTGCTCTCATATAGTGGTATTATTTGTTCTACCACATTTCCCTATCAGGACTGTAACTTAAAAGAGTCTAACTTAGGCCTCCTTTTTGTTGTAGGTTCTATTTTCCTCTCCAAAACGTGCATTTTTCAGATGTTCTGCGATGGTGTCATCACAAGTTTTCTACGCATAACTCAGTGAAAATCTGTCATTTGGTGAAACCTTGGTCATGTTGCCTATGAAATTTATGAACAGAAAGTATCTGGAGTGTCTTCCTACCTCTAAATGAAGTGTAACTGCATTCCCACTTTCTACATGGAAGGGTGTTTATTTCACTTTAAATGAACAATCATAGCTCTTGGGCCAAAGTAACAGTCCCAGATGAGTAACACCATAGAGAAAATTAAAGGCCCTTTCTATTCTATGCAAGGGAACCATGTTTAAAAGAACAGTTGCAAGACAGACATTTTTGGGCCAAGAGACACCACCCAGGGTTGCCAGTTCCTCCCCTGTACCCATTTTTCCCCAGATATTAAACGATCAGGTATATTTAATGATCAGGCACAGCGCACAAGCTTAAAAAGGAAAAAGGATGAAAAGAAGGTGCTGGAAAAGCAAAACGATCCGTAATAATTTCTACCACATAATGAGAGCGTACGCGTTTTCTCTGGGCAATGAATCACGTCCCCGATCCCTGCAGGGCGAGCGCTCGCTCTCTCTGGGTTTGCCAGGGGCAGCGGGGTCTCCAGCCGGGGTTGAAGGCAGAGAAGGAGGCGCAGCCCCGTCCCCCGGGACCCCAGAGGAGCCCGGCGGGCGAGGGGCCGCGGGCCGGGCCCCCCCCCATGGGCGTTGTCTGCGCCGAGCCGCCCTCGCCCCGCGCGGCTCGGCCGGGGGAGCGCCGGGCACGGCCCGCACCGACCCCTCAGAGCCGCGAGGGGCAGCGGGGGCTCTTTGTGGGGTCCCCCGAGGCGGGGGCGGCTCCCCGGCCCCCCCAGGACTCGCCCTTCGCAGCCGCCATTTTATTCCCGGCTCCTGCCGCCACCGCCCCCCGCCCGGGGCCCCGCCCCGGCCCGAGACACCCCCTCGCCCGGGCCCCCCATCCCCGGTTCCACCGGCCCCTCAGGGGCGCTCCCCGTCGCCATTTTGTGTGCGCCCCCTCCTCCGCCCCTGCCCCCCCTCCCCCGCCCAGCCGCCATTTTGTGGCCGCTCCCTCTCTTCCCTCTCCCCTTGGCCGTGCACGGCCCTCCCGGAGCCCGCGCGCTCACCATCGTAGCGCTCAGCCTGCTCAGCCAACTTGGCCTGATAGACGAGGTCCTCCCGATCGTCCATGTCCTGCGGGCGGAGCGGCGGCGGGGCGGCGCGGGGCGGATGGCAGCCGATGGGTCCGAGGGGCTCGGCAGCTACCAGCTCGCTGCTCTCCGGGCAAATATGGCGGCAGCGCCTCCTCCCGCTGCATCCGGGCACTCCCGCGGGCGCGCGCATGCGCCCCGCCGCTGCCATGGCAACGGCGGCTCCCTGGCAACGGGCGGAGGGCGGGAGAGGGCGGGAGGAGGGATGAGGGAACCGGGATGAGGCGGCCGGGAATGGCCGGGACGGAGCCGCCGCTCCCCCGCCCCGTGGTGGCGGGGCCGTGTCAGACACGGCGCCGTGGTCGTGGGGCACCGGAGGGGGCAGCGGGCCCGGCCGGCGGCCAGGCGGGGGATGCTCCAGGGGGGTGGCATTTCCCTCAGGGCGGGTCTTTCTCTCAGTGTTTCTGCTGCCCTCAAACGCCGACAATACAAATAGTACTACTCCTCTGTGTTACATATAGTATACTAAGCCAAAGACATCAGCATGTCTTCACCAAGATGAAAATCAGGTGTCAAGTCCGGAAAAAAACCGCATGATTTTCAATTTATTGATATACTATCAGAAAAATGCTGACCCAAAAGGTCCCAACAGTGCAGAGTCACCATCCCTTCGTGTAAATATACTAAAATATGTGAGACTTGCAAGTCACCTCTGCACTTCATAGATCTTTACCACAAAAGTCCTATTTTTCAGCAACTGGGGCTTAGTTTTGTAGGCAAGTTGTGCACAATAAACTAGATTTCCACCAATCTAGGAACTTTTCTGTGATCCTCATGTTCAGCAAGTATCAAAGTTGTAGAGGTCAACAGTATAAATAAACCAGGACATATTTATTTGTCTAAAGTGAGGTGCATGCTTGATACATTTGCAGAATAATAGCATATTGTCCAAACACTTTAAATACTTGTGAATGCACTCATTACAGATGGCATGCAAATATTTGGAAATTGGTCGGGGATTTGGCAAAGCATAAGGAATAAATAGTCTAATCCAGGGAAACACTCACAGCACTATTTGCTGATGCAATCCTTGCTTGTCCCTTGCACCCTCAACTTTCACATGAATTCATTCAGTCACTACTGTAGCCAAAAAGCATGGCTGGAAGGAGAGGGAAAGGAAAAGGAAAAGCAATAGGTTTCTAACCTCATTAAATGGCACTTTTGGATTGCAGATCTGCTGCAGCCAAGCTGTGGGAACACTGGAGCAAAGCTGGGGGGTTTTACCCAAGAAAATATAAGGTTTTTTCCATCTGAAGGTGATAGAAGAATCTTTACTGTGTGGAGATACAACGGGAATCTTGCCATCGGGATTCTTATCCTTGGGGGCCGAAAGACCACCATCCCCTTGCAGTTTTTAAGGAATACAATGGCAAAAGTAGGTCTAATGCAGATTCATGTTACAAACATTCTTCCCCACGGGACACAGGCATTCTGATCCTCATTTTCTGTGCTGCATCCCCTGACAGCACCTGCACACCCTTGCCTTTCACTGGAATAGTGCTCTCCCACTACCACAGGGACAAAGCAGCTCTGCTGAACCATTAGTAGACTCCTGTAGGAGATTCTTACTGGTATCAATTTGTATAACTTGATGTTTTTACTGACATTTCTAGGAATGAATAAACAGCTTTTTACCTTCCCAAACATACACACCCCATCCAAAGAATCCCCAAACTATTTCCTGATACACCTGCGCAGGTAGAAGTGAAACCAATAGCTACAAAATCTCATATTAACATTCCTCACAAGTCCTCTTTTGCAATGACAATTCACTTTTCCCCAACCCCTTGACTAATCTGATTACAGAAAGCCACCTCATTTCAAAAAGCCATATTTTATTGGTTGATAAGTTATTTTAGTTACCTTGGTTTGTCTTACTTCTGCAGGTGTTATAATTGTCTTCATACAAATATGGCAAATTAAAAATGGCCACACCCACAGCTCTATTTTTAGATCACTGAATTCAAATATTACAACAACAGTTGATTGAGAATGACACCGAGTCAAAGTTTTGGCTATACTTTTATTTACTTCACGTACTATGAACATATACATTACATGCTACAAAAAAAATAAAAAAAGACTTTAACTGTCAAGAAAGTGGATAGTGTTATAATACAATGGCACATGTTTCATATTTTTCTTCAAACTGGTTTGGTTAGAATCCTTCCCCAAAACCATTAACAAAAATGAAGTGTTTTACTCTTAAAATGATTAGAAATATTTTCATTATTAACAAATACAATTCAAACAGATTAACAAGATTTAACCAGGTCCAATATTAGTAAAAAGGCTGGGGTTTACCAAAATGAAATATATATTAAAAAAACCATAGCAGCCAGTTGTACTTTTTAGTGTGATATAATGTGTAAATGCACCAGAAGAACACAGTGTAATTGAGCATTCTGCTTTCACGGTGTATTTCTAGAAATGATTATTCTAGTTCTAACACCTGCCTATGCACAAGAGACCAAAAAACACAGCCAAGTAGAGACAAAAGATTGTGACCAACATTCTTAGCAATGATTTTTTTGCACGCATCGGGGAGAAGGGAGGGAACAAATAGAAGAGGATAAACAAAGGCCACAAAAGGATTTAATCTACATGTTCATGAACATATGTTCTACCTATTTTCCTTTAAGAGCTTGACAAGTTGAAATGTCTACTTTGTCCAAATGCAAACATTTCTACCACCTATGAAACAAAACCACATTTTGGCTTAGAACTGAATAGTGGAAAACAGTTGCATTAACGTGTCAGTTGACTATGAAAAACTGCTTGACAAGAACTTGGGGTTCTAGTGCAACAGCGGCTATTAAGACTCCTCTAGTTTCTTTATTTTGCTGTTTCAAAGTGTACAAATATTTGCAATTTAGACGGTCTTAATAAAACCACATCTACAAAGTGTGCAGGGTATTTGCTAGTTAATTCGACTCACGTCTTTCCTATTAAAAGGGCAATATTTGCATAATAAAACTACCAGAAAAATGTTCTTTCGGTATCTTAAAATTTAACTCCCGATTGGAAAGGTACAAATATATGGGCTTTCATTAACTGCAGTTGGGAAAAATACTTCAGAACAGTGTTATTCTAAGAACACACCGTTCGTTATGTTTCTTTTGCAAGACATGAAGAAAAATATAAGCAAATATGGGCAATTGAAAAACTCAATATTAAGCCTGTTATTCAGAGTGCAGCTATTGAACAAAAAAACCCTGTTACAGTAAATATCAAGGTCAGAGAAAAAATACAAATTAGCCTTAAAGAAACCGATGAGTTACAGAGTCTAAGAGTTAGTTTGTCAATTTTTTTCCCCTCAATTTTGTACTGAGCTAGAAGAGATCCCACTATCACTGGCACATCACCCTAACCAGAACAGCAATCCAAGCTAGGACAGGACTGCAAGTCCTTTGTTTCCACTCCCACACCACTGTCCCAGCTGTCAGTTTTCTGACCATCCTCAGTAGTGCTCATGAGACTGGTGACGGACAGGTGTGATTAACGTACATCGGCGTTAGTGCACAGAAGTCATGAGTGCCCGTAACCTGAACATTAGTCAGACTTGCTGATGGATTAGTTCTGAAGTAAAACGACTAGTACTTAAATATAACAGAAATATTATAACTTCCAGCATGTTACAGAGTTCTGAGGTAAAGTGTTACCAGTATTGTTGTACAGGTCGGTGCAGTGCAGCAAAGGCCTTTGCAGCATGTGCGACCAATGAGCCACTCGAGTCACATGGTTTGTAGCAACGAAAACCAACATTTTCCATTTGATACTATTTAGAAAAACCGTTCTGTACGGATTACACTGTAGTCATAAAGTTACAAAATTTAGTTTGGTCACTAGAGTGCTGTGCTTGGAAAACAACCCAGGGTACAGGCAAGGGATAGTTACTTCAGTGTTTAATTTCAGTTTACAAAACTTACTGAATCCATTCTGATTTATATTAGAGAAAACCAGATAATTAGAAGAACAGACTACAAAAACAACCACCAAGCAGTGCATAATACTGCCTATTCAATGCACTGATTTTCATTATGAGCTAGGAAGCCGTATTTACTCTATTATGCCTTTTGAGAATCAGTCCAGAAGCACACAATTATTTTCCATTAGTTTATTAAAAATAAAATCCTCATGAATTCATTATCAAATATTTTACAGATGGGAATCAAACCAGAAGAGTCCCCAGAGTAACTTTATAATAAAAGTAATATTTGGTTTGTCAGTTCACCATGTTTGACACCGATTTGTACTGTAACAGTATTGTACAACAGGAGTATCCAAGAATTCTAGAAACATTAAACTAGCCCTACATAATTTAACTTTACTGGAAAGCAGTGTCAATATTTTAGTATATTTAGTGAATCAAACACTGCTTTAAAGCTACGTATTAAAGTGCTACGCACGTATTTTTCAGCACTGATATGGACGTTTACACTTCTATAAGCCTTGTATTTGTGGATAAAGAGATATTTGTGTGTTAACAAAAATCTTAATTTAATATCAACTGCTATTTTTGAAGCATCAACAGTACTGACGAAATCAATCTAGTGTCCACAAACTTCTAGAATTCTGAGGTTGATTTGATCTGTCATTTACCATCAAAATGGTAAGAACGTGTAAATCACAAGGGCTGTCCCCAACAGCACTACATAAATCTGTACTGTGCATAGTTAACTGACCATGCAGAGTACTGTATAGCCTTTCTAGGACAGAGAATTCAGGATGGAAAAAAACATGGAGAAAGCTCCAGGATAAATTGGTGAAATTTCTATCTGTGTATTGAATTGTCTACGGTTGATGTTCATTGCCTGAGGAAGAAGCAACATAAGCAATGGGACCGGAGAGAGCTATAAATGTCATCTGAACATCTACAGTCCTGCTCTCCCCGGCTGCTGCTGCTGGCAAGGTCCAGTCTGCCGTGCACATGGACATAAGCAGGCATTACAACCTAGAATCGTGGACTAGTTCTGCCACTTGACACACGAGTTATCTACTGTCGTACCCTGAATTACATGACCCTTGATTAAGGAATGGTGGTGTTCAGTCCCAGGGGTTTGCAGGTTATCAGAATGCTTATCCAAGCAATTCCGCTTTCAATCGGTCGGAAC